TACTGGGAGTCTTTGGCAGGCCACTATTGGTTAATCACAATGGAGACCCTTAGGATTCTGGAGTAAAGCCCTGCCATCCTCTCCTTTTGAGAAACAGCTTTTGGCTTGTTACTGGGCCTTAGTAGAGACTGAATGCTTAACCATGGGCCACCAAGTCACCACAGGACCTGAGGTGCCCGTCATAATCTAGGTGTTGTCTGACCCACAGAGTCAGAAAGTCAAATGTCCACAGCAGCACTCCATCATTAAATGGAAGTGGTATATACAAGATCGGGCCTGAGCAGGACCGATAAGTAAGTTGCATGAGGAAGTGGCCCAAATGCCCCTGGTCTCCACTCTTGTCAGATTACCTGCTCACTCTCAGTCTGCACCTCTATCTTCACGGGAAGCTCCTTATGATCAGTTGACTAAGGAAGAAAAACTCGTACCTGGTTTACAGATAGTTCTGAGCGATATGCAGGCACCATGTGAAAGTGGAAAGTGGCAGCACTATAGCCCCTTTCTGGTACCTCCCTGAAGGACAGTGGTGAAGGGAAATCCTCCCAATTGGCAGAACTCAGAGCAGTGCACTGGGTTGTTCACTTTGCTTGGAAGAAGAAATGGCCAGATGTGCAATTGTATACTGATTCACAGGCTGTCACCAATGGTTTGCCTGGATGGTCAGGGACTTGGAAGGAACAGGATTGGAAAACTGGTGACAAGGAGGTATGGGGAAGAGGTATGTGGACAGACCTATCATAATGGACCAAAGAAGTGAAGATATTTGTGTCTCATGTGAACGCTCACCAAAGGATAACCTCAGCAGAGGAGGATTTGAACAACCAACTGGATAGGATGATGTGTTCTGTGGAAACCAGTCATCTTTCCCCAGCCACTCCCATCATTACCCAATAGGTTCATGAGCAAAGTGACCATGGTGGCAGGGATGGAGATTATGCATGGGCTCAGCAACATGGACTTCCACTCACCAAGGCCGACTTGGTTATAGCCACTGCTGAGTGCCCAATCTGCCAGCAGCAGAGACCAACACTGAGTCCTGATATGGCACCATTCCTCGAGGTGATCAGCCAGCAACCTGGTGGCTGGTTGACTACATTGGACCGCTACCATCATGGAAAGGGCAGCGTTGTGTTCTTACTAGGATAGACACTTACTCTGGATACGGATTTGCCTTCCCTGCACGCAATACTCTGCTATAACTACCATCTGTGGACTCAGAATGCCTTATCTTCTGTAATCGTATGCTACACAGCATTGCCTCAGATCAAGGGACTCACTTCACAGCAAATGAAGTGTGACAGTGGGCTCATGCTCATGGAATTCACTGGTCTTACCATGTTCCCCATCATCCTGAAGCAGCTGGCTTGACAGAATGATGGAATGGCCTCCTAAAGACACAATTACAGTGCCAGCTATGTGGCAATACTTTGTAGGATTGGGGCAATGTTCTCCAGGAGGATGTATATACTCTAAACCAGCATCCAATATATGGGTGCTATTTCTCCTATAGCCCAGATTCATGGTTCCAGAAATCGAGGGGTGGAAATGGTAGTGGCACCACTCACTATTACTGCTAGTGACCCACTCACAAAATTTTTACTTCCTGTCCCCACAACTTTATGCTCTGCAAGTCTAGAGGTCTTAGTTCCAAAGGGAGGAATGCTCCCACCTGGAAACACAACACAGATTCTTCTGAACTGAAAGTTAAGAATGCCACCTGGTGACTTTGGGCTCCTCATGCCTCCGGACCAACAGGCAATGAAAGGAGTTACCATCTTGGCTAGTGTGACTGATCCTGACTACCACGTATAAGCAAGGATGGAGAGCAACTAGGGCATAAAAAATCACAACCACTGCAGTGCAATGGGTTTCTCTTTATATATGGCCTTTTTGGCCCTGGTTTTGTAGTTCTGCCAAAATGATTTGGTAGGCCACAATCTTGCAAAGAGATTGGACAGTTTACTATGCAAATTAGGTGACTGTGGCCTACCAAGGCAATTTGTCAATTTGTTGTCTTGGTGGGAGGAGTAGGCCTATAAAAGGACCAATCCCACAGAGGCTGGGGGGAACCTCACTACCATCAAGAAGAAGAGCCAGGAGCAGAACACATCTTTTGGACTCAGGGTCTCTGCATTGAGAACCTCCTAGACCCAGGAGACAGAGAGAATTGTACACTGGAGACGGCACTAGATGGCACAAGAGAGCACGAGTGGTGAGAACTAGGAGACTGGCACAAGATAACTGTGGTGGGCTCCCGGCCCATGAAGTGAAGCGGCTGCAGTGGGCTCGCTGACTCACAGAACAAGAGAGCTGAGTGCCTTAGGGCAGGAGGCTTGCTGGTAGAGTGAGGTGCCTCTAGGCACTTGACAATGGAGGTGAAAGAGCTGTAACTCTTGCCTTAGCAGGGCCCGGGAGCAGATGTCAGGCCTAAGTGCGGGCTGGCAGCAGAGGCCAGGCCAGGCCCAAGCAGGGGCCAGCAGCAAAGGCCTTAGCGAGGCCCAGCCTACGAGCAGAGTCGAGAAGTGCGGCCTGCCTGTAGGCACAGCTGAGGAGAAGCTGAGAGAAGTCTTGGTTGAAAGCCGTCCTGACTGGCAAACCGTACCCTCTCTCCTGAGTTGTTCCTGTTACTTCCAAGTTGATCCTGATCCTGAGCTGTAGCCTGTCACTTCCCTAATAAACCACATAATCATGAGTACGATCTATGAGTTTTGTGTGCCATTGCAACGAGTTATCAAACTCAGCAGAGAAGTAGAGAATGCCGTAGGAGGGACAGCCAGTGTCAGAATTGGTGAAAAGGTTGGAGAAGGGAGGTATGTCTGACCGCTACCTCATAGGAATCAGCTTTGGGCTAATCTTGATTCTCATTATCCCCCTGAAGTTAGAGGACCTCTGACACCATGAGATTTACAATCACCTTGGAAAACTGTTTGGCAGTTTCTAATAAAGTTAAAACACCTATCTACCCTATGACTCTACAATTTCCCTTGTAGGTATTTACTCAAAAGAAATGAAAATGTATTGCTACACTGAGACCTGTACAAGAACATTAACAGCAGCTTTATTCATAATAGTAAAAAACTAGAAACAGTCCAGATGTCCATCAAAAGGAGAATAGATAAAGAAATTGTGGTATATTCACACAATGGAACACTACTCAGCAATAAAATGGAAGGGACCCCTGACATATGCACAACATGAAAGAATCTCAAAACGGTTAGATTGAATGAAAGAAACCAGACCGAGGAATAGGAGGAGGAAATGGATGTGTGGCCAACTGTCTCCACGAACAACTGTCTTCTCTGCCATGAGACTAGAAGAAGTGGATGGTGCCTGACTACCATTACTGAAAATTGTAATTAAAGAGTCTGTAGAAGACTCCTGATCAAAAGGGGGAAGATGTAGAACAGAATTTAAAATTCTCATAGAATCCAGATTTTTCTGGAGCCATGGAGGCTGGATGAACCCCCAAAACTATTGCCCTGAGATAATCCTTAAACCTTAAACCAAAAATATCCCCTGAAGTCTTCTTAAAAACCACACAATACTTTAGCTTAACTAGTAAAGAACATCTGCCTTGATCACTGTGCTCTTTTAAGATCTACCGATATGGGATCAAATTGACAACAGCAACTCAAAAGATTAGATAAGGACCTTAGGTGGCAGTAAATTTATGTTACTGGGGGAGGAGCAACACAGAAGGTGAGGTGGAGAATGGTTGCACAACTCAAAGAATGTAATCAATGTCACTAAATTATACATGCAGAAACTGTTGAATTGGTGTATGTTTTGCTGTATATGTTCTCAACAAAATAAATTAAAAAAAAAAAAAGAAGCCAGACACAAAAAAAGAGTACATACTGTATGATTACATTGATATGAAATTCTAGGACTAGCAGAACTATAGTGACAGAAAATGGACTGCCTTGAGCTGGGGGTGGGAGACAGACTGCAAGGGGGCATGAGGGAACTTTCAGGAGTGCTGGAAATGTTCTATGTCTTGATTTGAGAGCTAACTGCACGAGCTGAGCCCTGGTGGTGCAGTGGTTAAAAGCTATGGCTACTAACCAAAAGGTTGGCAGTTTGACTCCACCAGCTGCTCCTTGGAAACCCTATTGAGGCAGTTCTACTCTGTCCTATAGGGTCGCTATAAGTCGGAATCGACTCGATGGCAATGGGTTTGGTTTTAGATACGTATGTCAATGGTCCCTGGGTGATGCAAACAGTTTGTGCTCGACTACTAACCTAATAGTGGGTGGTTGAAACCTACCTAGCACTGCTGTGGAAGAAACACCTGGCAATCTGCTTCCATAAAGATTACAGCCAAGAAAACTCTATGGAGCAGTTCTACTCTGTAACACATGGGGTTGCCATGAGTCAGAATCGACTTGATGGCAACAGGTTTTTTTGGTTTTATGGTACATTAAGAACTGTACATTAAGATCTATGCATCTTATTATATGTCAAATACACTTCAATTAAAAGCAGTTTTTCACTGCAAGGAAAAAAATGTATCTTGTAGAAAACTGGGTTTGTTCACTTAGACTTGAAAACTGGGATGATCACTGGGCTTATTTTCACCCACCAACATTTCACTGATTAACCAGCTGGCTAACTACGACCCCCCAAAGCCAGGTCCAATTCACTCCACCAGTAAAAAGCGGACTGCGCTGAGTCCCTTCACGTTCAGAGTGCAGCTAAAGGCACTCCTTGCAAAATTCTGTTGCAAATAAAGTGACTAACAGAGCCATCCCCAATCAATGCAGAATCTCACTTTGCCGTGGCATTCCTGAGAGCCTCTGAGACCCGAGCAAAGCAGGTTTTCTCTCAAGCAGTGACTGGACAGAGGAACAAACAAGGGTCTCTAGTTGTTTGCACAACCTCAGTTTCTTCCTTGACATGCGCTGGTTGCCCTGTGTCTGTTCTTGGGTGCTCAAGAGGGCAGGGCGCAGGTATGACTTAGCCTGAGGCCCCAAGGAAAACAGCTGGGGCCATCTGCTTACCTCGTAGTCTTGCTCTCCACCCCCGCCGGCAGAGCTGCCCACCAGCACCTCCACGAAGGCGGAGCCGTCGTTCCCGATGTCCACGCTGTGTATCTGTTCCTCCTTCTCCAGCTGCGGGGAGAGGACAGCCCACTGTCAATGCCTGCTCTGTCCTTGGGACCTCCAGAGACTGATGAGCCCCTTCTGGGCCCCACGTCCCCTTGAAATGTCAACTTTGTGACAGTGGGGGGCCAGGGCTGAGTAGTGCCACTGTGTCCCTGGCACCCAGCACAGGGCCTGGCCCAGAGTTGGAGCTCATGAAAAATTCTGAATGAATGCAAAAAACTCTACCCACTACCCCCTTTCACCAACCCCCCCAGATTCTACCAGATCCCCTTACAACAAGCCACCAAGCTCTCCTTGGCAGCACTTACCAGAGGTATGTGTTTGTGCAAATAATCATGTAGACAAATGTCACATCTGCTGCCCCTGCCCCCAACTGCAGAAGACTCAGCGGAAGGCCCCTAAGGGCAGGGTCCCTGTCTGGGTTTGCTCATCACTAAATCCTGGGTTTGAATCCCAGACCAGCCACACACTAGCCATATGGCCTTGTCAACTAACCTCTCAGAGCCTCAGTTTCCTCATCTGTAAACTGGGGGTGATCAGCACAGCTACTCTACAGGGCTGTTGTGAGAAATACATCAGATCATGCACATGAGCACTGTGGCCACAGGGGGGTGGCATGTAGTAGGCACTCGACCCCTGTCACGTGGGAGACATTATTAGTCAATGCTTGATAATTATTTGTTGAAAGAAGGAAAGAGCTACCTCTAGGAGGGCTTCCCCAAAGGATCTGTCACGGAGACGTGGAAAGCGGTGCTGGGGTGGGGGCAGTTAGGATGGGCAGGGGCAAATCTCCTGCCCTCCAGCATGGGGGGCTCTCTTATCAGGATTCTAAACACTGAGTTATATCACACCCTCAAAGGTCCCTAACCCACCACCCCACAAGCTCACCCCTTACCACCTGACGCTCCCATCTGCTCTATAATTTCCCAGGCAGGAGGTCCCCCAGACATCACCTGCACACTGCTACAAATGGGAAGATCCCTACGTGGGAGGCAGGGGCCTGCACCTGGGAGTGAAGCAAGCCTGAGTTCAAATCCAGCATCCCTGCCATGTCCGAGCTGTGCAACCCTGGGTGACATAATCAACCTCTCTGATCACCAGTTTCCTCACATATGAAAAGGAAGGGGTGTCATAATAACCCTCCTTGTGAAGGAAGTTGAGCTGACACAGAATAACCACCACCACCATCACTGCAGCTGACACCTGATTTAGGAGGTAACACTGGAGCCATTATTCCCTGTCCTTGAGCATAAAGAATGTGACCCAGCTGGAGCTGGACTCACAAAGACTCACAAGGACACATCAACTGGGCCCTGAGGTATAAAGACAATAGCTAGGACAATCTTGGAAAACACCTTTTAGGGAATCTTTCACATAAGTAACTCATAAAACAAAGCACTAAAGACTCACATACTTTCTACTCTTAATCTTCTTTTATCAGCATTTAGTGAATAGTAAGATTTGTTGGACCAGTGAAGACCTCCTGACTGTCATTACTGAAACCTGAACCAATGATTATTAAGACAGACAATTCAAAATGTAGAATCACGGTATTTGGCAGTGTTTAGCCAATCTGTGAAAAGGTAAAGCTTTCCATGGTTTTGCCCATGTGTAATGTTAACATATACTGAAGGCTCTGTCACGTTCCTTGGACTCGGGCAGACATGGCTCTGGCAGCATGGTTGTCTGTTTTCCAACTTTTGCTTATTCTGCGATATTTCACTGGACTCGGGCAGACGTGGCTCTGGCAGCATGCTTGTCCGTTTCCTGCTTTTGCCTCTTTGCATATATGCTGAATAAAACCTTGCTTTTTTCTCCACTAAACTTTGTGATTTTTTACCCAAGAACACATCTGAGTGCTCCAAATGTATCTACTCTCTTCACAACCACTCTGCAGGGCAGACACTGTTATTATCTACATTTTATACATGAGCATCTGCCATATGAGGCAGAAGTGGTTAGGTAACTTCCCCAAGGTCACACAGCTGGTGAGTGGCACAGCTGGGACCGGAACCCAGGCAGGCTGGCTGCAGCATCCATATGTGCTCCTCCACCAAGCACGGAACATGCTGGAGGCGATGCTGAGGGAAAGGCCTTTCCAGGGCTGAGCCCAGTCGGCCTCACGGTGACTCCCCCTTCCTTCAGTCTGAGAACAAGCTGGCTCCTTCCCACCTCAGGGCCTTTGCACTTGCCATTCTGCCTGCCTGGAACACCATTCCCCCACACTTCTCAAGGCTGGCTCCTTCCACTGTGGGTCTCTGCCCAAAGTCACCTCTTCCCTGACCAACCACAGTAGCCTCCCTTGCCTCCTACACAGTACTACTCCCTATCCCCTAACCCTGCTTTATTTTTCTTCGTCATCACCACCTGATATTATAGACTTGTAATACAGTGACATTTCAGTGTCTGGCTTGTCTTCCCACTACACTTTTCCTGACCCTTTCATTTCATTTTTTAAATAATATTTTATTGTGTTTTCGGTGAAGGTTTACACAGAAGTTTAGGTCCCCATTCAACAATTCCTTCACAAGCTGTTCAGCGACATTGGTTACACGCTTTACAATGCGTGAACATTCTCATTATTTCTGTTCCGGTTTTTCTGTTTTCCGTTCATCTAGTTTCCCTGCCCTCTTACATTCTCATCTTTATTTTAAAGTAATTATTAACCGTTTGGTCTCATATAGGTGATTTTTCAAAAGAGCACAGTACTCACAGGTGATTGATATTCATTATTTTGTGAGCCAATTTGTTATTTAGCTACATGGTGACCTCAGGGGTTAGTTTTGGTTCAAAGCTTAAAGAGTATCTCAGGGCAATAGTCTCAGGGAGTCCTACAGTCTCAACCAGTCAAGTAGATCTGGGTTTTTGTTTTTGTTTTTTAAGGAACTTGAGGTTCTTTTCCACATTTTTCTCCCATTCTATCAGGGTGCCTCTACTGTGGCCCTGATTAGAATGGTCAGTAGTGTTACCCAGAGCCGGGCACCATTTAGTTCTTCTGGTCTCAGGGTAGATGAGGCCATGGTTCATGTAGACTATCTGTCCTGTAGACTAGTTTCTTCTCTGAGTCTTTGGTTTCCTTCTTTCTCTTTTGCTCCGGATGAGTAGAGACCAATAGTTGTATCTTAGATGGCCACTCACACGCTTTTAAGATCCCAGACACTACTCACCAAACTAGTTTATGTGGAACATAAACTTTATGAACTTTATTATTCCGACTGACCAAGATGTCCCATGAGACTATGGTCCTAATCCTTCAAACCCAGAAATCTAATTCCATGAGGTGTTTGATTATGTCTAAGAAGTATCCATAACTGTGCCCCCTATGTGCTTTATTTTATATATATATGAATACATGTGCATACGGTCATACAGATGCATATACATATACATACAGCTACACATACACACACAAATACATACCTATACACATACATGCTTACATACATATACCTACACATATATTTTTTGGTAGTTTTTGCTGTTGTTTCAAAATTATATATGACATAGCAATTACCAACAGGTCCTTTTTCCTTGTGTACTTTTTAGTGATATCATTCACCTTCATCAAGCCGTGTACACTTCACCCCATTTGGTGTTACCTCCCCCATCACCAGAAATAACAAGTGTCTACTATCTGGTAACCATCAATGAATATTGTCGTTGTTGTTGTTAGGTGCCGCTGAGTCAGTTCCCACTTATAGCAACCCTATGTACAACAGAATGAAACACTGCCAGGTCCTGCACCATCCTCACAATCGTTGTTATGCTTGAGCCCTTTGTTGCAACCACTGTGTCAATCCATCTCATTGAGGGTCTTCTTTTTTGCTGACCCTCTACTTTACCAAGCATGATGGCCTTCTCCAGTGTTCTCTAATGAATATTAGTTTATGTATTATTTACTTGTTCATGTCAGTTCATAAAAGTGAGAACATAGAGTATTTGTTTTTTTGTGATAGACTTATTTCACTCAAGATAATGTCCTTTAGGTTCATCCATGTTCCAAGATGTTTTGGGAACTTATTTTTCCCCACTACATTTTTAAGCTCCATGGGGGCAAGGACAGTATCTGAGCCATTCCCTGCTGTGTCCTCAGTGTAAGAATAGTGCCTGGCCCTTCCCAGCCTGGCTTACTTACTTACTGATCCTGGAGCAAACGGCTTCATTTCACCTCTTGTGCCTCAGTTCCCTAGCTTGTAAAATGGGGGCAGTAACAACTTCTACCTCATAAAGTTCCTGTGAAGATTAAGTGAGGAAAGCATACAAAGTCTCTAGAATAGTGCCTGGCACACAGCAAACACTCCATATATGTCAGCTAATAATAGAGAGTCCCTGGGTGGTTCAAACATTTAACACACTTGGCTGCTAACCAAAAGGTTCGTGGTTCAAGTCTGCCCAGAGGTGCCTTAGAAGAAAGGTCTGGTAATCTACTTCCCAAAACATCAGCCACTGAAAACCCTATGGAGCACAGTTACTCTGACATACATGGGGCTCATCGTGAGTTGGAGTTGACTCAACGGCAACTAGTTACTGGCTAGGCCGGCAATACATTCCTGATGGGTGGACGGACAGATGGATGGGAATTCCCTCAACAATCATGTGCCGAAGGAACAAATGTTCCCTGAGTTGTAACTCTGGCTCTGCCCTCTCTTACCAAGTGGCTTTGGTGAGTCACTTCTCTGCTCATTGCCTCAGTGTCCCCATCTGTCACAAGAGTATCCTCATGGCTAAGGTTTTCAGATTGCTCACTGTGTGCCAGGTGCTTGGTGCAGGAGTTTCCTGTTGCTGCGGTAACCAATTACTACAAACTTAATGACTTAATAAAACAATAAAAATGTATTATCTCACAGTTCTGGGGGCCAGAAATATATGGGGCTAAGATCAGGATGTGGCAGGGCCGCATTCCTTCTGGAGGCTCTAGGGAAGAATCCACTTCCTTGCCTCTTCCAGCTTCTAGAAGCCACCTGCATTCCTCGGCTCGTGGCCCCATTCCAGCCACAGCATCAGTC